GCAGAGCAGAGCAGAGCAGAGCAGAGCAGAGCAGAGCAGAGCAGAGCAGAGCAGAGCAGAGCAGCTAGAACAGGAACTATATTTCATGGTATGTACATGTATCTAATAGTAACTTGTTACTAAACAAACGAAGAATATTATTATGAAACAAACAAACACAATTTACATGAGCAAGTGGTATCATCAAAATCATTGCAATATTATTTGCAAACCTTTTGTGGGCCATCAAGAGTTTCCCGCCAGCAATCAGTGTTTTGGTCTTTTCAACATTCTCTGGGACATTGAATATATGGTTCAGATGCTCACAGGCCTTTGACAACTGGAATCCAGATCAAAAAACACATCAATATGAGGTTTTGGGTATAGATATCATTCCCCTGGGGGAGGGGGRTGGTACTATTTTACCTGAGTATGTTTATACTGCGTAGCCTTGACGACCTCTAGTTTATCAGACAGATCAGAAACTCCCTTCAACATGTCATCCACTTCAGCCATACTGAATTAAGACATGGACACAAAATGCTTGTTATTATAATAAATAAAAGGTACAGTAATGATAAAAAGGTAAATTATACACCCTGAAAAGATTTAAAAACTTACTGACGTTTTGGATGCTAGTCTCTCGTCAGAGTCGGGCTTTTTTTTACTCCAACAAAGGACTAGCATCAGTAATTTTTCCATCTTTTCACGGTGTATGATTTACCTTTTTATCATTACTGTCATTAGAAACACCGACGCAGCTCACACTAKTTTTTATCTAGTTATATCTTCTTAATAAAAGGTACAGTATATCAATAGCTCGTAGCCCAAGGAACTCTTGGGGAAGAGATTATGAGAAGAATATGGCCAGGTGTGATATGCAGTACTGTGATGTCACGCCYGCTAAGAAGAGCTGTCGAGATTGCCCAAAACAAACAGTTTTCATTATAATCTTGTTTTGTTTACACCTCATGCTAGCCACCTCTCGTTCAAAAACTCATTGTGAAGCGCCTTTGAACAATGTGCATATGGAATAGAGCGCTATACAAATAGAAATCATCAATTATTATTATTATTATTATTATTATTATTATTATTATTATTATTATATTGTTCATCGTTCTATTACTTTCATCGAATTGAGCTAGATCTTGTTAGAGCTGTGACCTTGCCCATCATGACTTGGCCACTACAATTGCTAGAAAAGCCCACACCCCCGCTGGTTCGAGGAGGGTGATTTGTGGCCTATGCTCCTATGGGAGCGATGGGCTTAAGTGAAGTAAGAACATGTATCAATAGTTGAGTTGGACTGATTAATAATCAGGAATACTACAAGCTTCAACATTAGTTTTTAGATTACCTTTGTTTGATTTGCTTGATGTCTTCTACAGCACTGCAAAATGTAAAATGAATAAGAATTTTGGACATGGCTAACTCACAGATAGAACCATGAAACAACCTCTGGGCTGATCTAAGTCAGGGCATGGCTAACTCACAGAGAGAACCCTGAAACAACCTCTGGACTGATCTAAGTCAGGGCATGGCTAACTCACAGATAGAACCATGAAACAACCTCTGGGCTGATCTAAGTCAGGGCATGGCTAACTCACAGATTGAACCCTGAAACAGTCTCTGGGCTGATCTAAGTCAGGGCATGGCTAACAGGGTATGCAATTTCACTCAAGTTCCAAGTTCTTCCTGAGTTTCCTGTCATATTCAGGGTTTCTACTTTCGTATTGACCAAAACTGGATATTATGGTCGTAAAAATTTTTTTACACGAGATAACTTGATAATTGAAACAGGAAGTCCGTGCAATAAATTATGCCTTTTGTCATAAACAGGGTCTACAAATTTGAGTTTTTTTGTCATAAACAGGGTACCCCTTTCAGAATTCCAGCAGAACACCCCTAACCAAATCCTAGCAGAGTACCCCCCTCCCCCTGGTATGTTAGTTATGAAAGAAGGGGAAATCTGATGTGATCTGAAATGAGCAATTTGCATACAAAGCTATATATGTAGGTATATTAAGTATGTAAAGTGTATCTAACCTTTGCAGCTGACCCAAGCCTGTCCTGACACCTTCTAGTTGAGACTGTACAGCAGATTTGAGACGAGCTTCTACAGAAGCCTAAATAACAATACACTTATGGTTAAAAATGAAAAAATATATATGTTTTCCGACATGGCTATTGAAATGGTGATCCACAAGAGAACCTACACCTCTAACATCATCTTGATGACCTCCCTTTTAAGAGATTTAATTTCTTGACACTTGGCAAAAATTGTATTTGCACACAGTCTTGAAGGTTTTCTCTCAGGATGAAGTTTTCCGGCCCACCCTTCCTTCGATTCCTGGAACTACCCCTGACCATTACCCTCAAGCACTACACTGTACTGTAGCTAAGAGATTTTGTCAAAAATAATGATTTAGAGGGGAGGGGTGGGGTTATCTGGTACCCAAACAACCAGTATTGAGCATTTTAACAGAAAGGGTAGGACTCTGAGGGGGTATTTACCAGGAACCTACCATCTAAATCAATAAAATCAGGTCTCAATTTTGAGTGTAATATTTGCCATTTCAAACATGTCATTGTTTAACGATTGCACAGAAAAAGACRCATGAATATGGATACAACTCAAACAAAGAATCTCAAATCTCAAGAGAATGACACGAGGTCTGAAATGGGAAAATATTTGAACCAAGAGAGTACGGTCTTGTTAAATCTAGGTTATGCACACCTTATTTCGCATAACTCTTCTTCTCCATTGTTCCACCTTGTCCAAGCTGTCAGGATTCTGATTTAACATAATTTTTCAATAAATAGTTACAGTTAAGATAAGAAAATGCTTATTATTATTATGTTATTCATAATTCGATATTTTTTGATGGAAAATACTAGGATTAAGTATGGATTTTTTCACTCACTTGTAGCATCGTAGCGACGTGTTTCGCTGCATTCTCATGGGCCTCAGCCTTTGCTTTCTGAATATCTATGGACATACTTATTACCAGAGATAGCTATGGTATATATTGGCATATATCTGACACCAATACTGAAGCTTAAGGAACCAAAAACCTCGTTAGTTTAGACGTCGAATTTCAACCTCCCATGCGCCATCTTGAAAACGGCTTCCTTCCCGTATGACCACAGGGATCCCATGTCAACTGGGATAGGCATAATTTCATTGAGGGGGGAGGGGARGGTATCTTACAAACTACATTTTGATGATTTTAAAGTTCACCGATAAACATTATCACATATATTTATTTGGATCGTCATTAGTCACACATAAACCTTTTACTTTGGGCATATTTTTGCATCACTTTCGCAAATCAAAAAATCTCACAAGTTTTGAGTTTTATCATTGTTTGGAGGGGTGTGAATTAAAATTCTGAATTATAACTGACTTCCAACTAACATAAGCATCCTTAAGCTGCAGGACAGACATGACAAAGACGATGGCAAGCATACAATAGCACTAATTGTGCTATTTAATAGACACTCGTTGGTATGTACAAAGCACTGAGCATCATTGCCGTTTTCTGCTGAAAGTAAGACATGAAATGTCCTATTTTTACATACCAAAGAGAACGGCTACGCCAAAAGCTTATCGTTTTAAGTGAAGGGATCCCAAAAGACGTCATTTCACTCTAAAACAGGGGTGCTTATTGAGTGAAATACTAGGCAAGCATGAAATAATAATACAATAAAAGGTTGAAGCACCTCAATTTTGCTGACGTTGTTGCCCACATTGCCGTCCTGCAGCTTAAGGTCCCTATTATTTAATCTCAGGTGAATAAACAAATAATAAATCTTTTCTATAATAATGAATGCCTGGTATATATTTGCAAAAAAGATGGCTGTGGAAACTAGCCAGGTTCCCCAGAAATAACTTTTCAGCATTGTTGATAGGACTTTTATGATCACATTATATATCTAGTATGTCTCCAAAGATGACTTCAATCCAGCATATCTGAGCATCAATAGAACTTTTTCTATGATTATCTAGAGGTATTTAAATGTATGTCTCCAGAGATGACTTCAATCCAGCATATCTGAGCATCAATAGAACTTTTTCTATGATTATCTAGAGGTATTTAAATGTATGTCTCCAGAGATGACTTCAATCCAGCATATCTGAGCATCAATAGAACTTTTTCTATGATTATCTAGAGGTATTTAAATGTATGTCTCCAGAGATGACTTCAATCCAGCATATCTGAGCATCAATAGAACTTTTTCTATGATTATCTAGAGGTATTTAAATAAATATCTCCAGAGATGACTTCATATTCAGCATCAACATTCACTGAACCTTGTCTATTATTGTCTAGTCTGTAATAATTAACAGAGGAGTGATCTTTTCTCTGTAGGATATAAACCAATCCCAAAAAGATATATCCAACACAGCACAAGAGTATACACCATCTGAAAAGGTTTCTGGGTCCATATAAATTGTAGAAGGCTCCACCTATGACTGCACCGAGGCCCCACCCTAGGCCATAGTGGAAACCGGTGGTGACACCTTCCATTGTGGTGTAAACATCAGGTGTTGATACAGCACAGGCAAATGAGATTGAAGTACTCCACATAGCAGCTAAGCTGATACCATGTAAAGGCTCTATCAACAAGACATACCAAGGGTCTTGCAGGAATGTATAACATGTGAGGCGGATGATAGAACAGGTCAGGGAAAGGAATAACACTCCAACATGGCCAATTGCATTGATCATTTTAGCGCACAGAGGGAAAATTGGGACTTCTGAAATGCTCATTATAGCACTTGACAGACCTAAAAGAGACTGCGAAGCACCTAGATTTTCTAGAAACCAGAACAAAAACAGCATAATTGTTCCACCAACAACCCCCATAATGAAAATGTAGATTAAAAAGCACACAACCATCCCTCTACTTAGGATCTTCTTAACATGGGTCATGATAATCTTTGACTTACTTTCCCTGCTAACGTCTAACCCACAGCTCACAAACATTAACAAAATGCTGTTCACACCAAGGTAAAGAAAGAAAGCTGTAAGGTAGTTTGGATTGGATTCATTTGAGCCATCATTTTTGAGATAGTTCAACTGAAAGTAGTTAAATCCCACAGTTTTATCAATAGCCATACCAGTAAGAAAACTACCCAGTCCAAAACCTATTGCTCCGAAGACCCTCTGTTTACCAAACTGACTACTCCCTTCCCAATAAAAGATTGTAGAACACATTATAGCGCCGACTGGTGCATTGAAAAAATCTCCTATAACGATCAGCCCAAAACTTGCAAAGAATATCATGCTCTCGCTTAATATTGACGTATCATTCAATGGAACCAGGCTTTCATTCGCGTAATACAATCCACTATCTGCAAATTGAGGTCCATGCCTTGGGTTTTTCCCTGACCTGTCCAGCTGTGTGATGCCCATATTTGTGTGGTTGGGTAATGGGTAGTTGAGTCTGTCGTTGCCATGGTGATTCCCTCCAAATGAAAAACCCCTATCACGTGTTGTGTAGGAAGTTGAAAATTTTATAGAATTTCTTTGCAATAACGTAATATTCGACTTAATAACATGTTCTATCGGCTGAACCTCCTTGGCCTGTTGCACAAAAGCAACAAACGACAACGAGAAATACGCCAGCACACTCATGACCAACGATAACAACAGAATTGATTTATAGCAGCCAGTCTTGTCAGCTAAGAAACTGAAAAACGGCGCGCTTATGAACCCAGTAAACGGTCTCACTCCTGTTATTACTCCAGTAAGGACTGCATTGAGGCCAATATGTCTGAAATACACCGGGAGGTAGTTCCTTAAGGTTCCACAACCGAAGAAGAAGACGAGGTAGAACGCCTTGAATCTGAGTGTTCTGTTCTCGATGTAGAGAAGACCTTTTAGTCTTCTGATGTTTTGATGTCGGTGGATAGCTGATGCCTCCATGGTAATAAATACGGCGATGTTTTAAACATCCAATGAAGAACACTTTCCCGAGTTTAATATAACTCAGTTTTACCATCTTGCAGCCATCTTGCCTCATGGAATGCGCTTTACCACAGGGAGCCCGCTTTAGAAAACAGCCAAAAATAAAATCCATAAAAATACCTTTTAATATTATTTCCTTTTATAATTAGGAAAAGATATCAAAAGATATGATACTAGAGAACGACAAAAATAGTAAGGAAGATACAGTACTATAAATTTACAATGAACAAAAAAAAATAGATTAACCAAAATAAAGACCTTTTGCTTGCTATGTTTTGCGATTTTTTTCCGCTTCACTCTTTCTATGTACAAGCAATATTTCATTTTGTTCTCAATTGAATCTTAAAATGATTTTACCATTTTTTTAGCAATTTTCTTCTAATTTGGCATTTTTGCGAGTGGGTTCCCTGTGTTGTACCAAGGCGGCAATGCATCGTGGGAATGTTATTCCAACATGGCGGACAAAGCGTGAAAAATGACCGAAAATGTGGCAAAATTGTTCTTAGAAATACGACCTAGATTCAGGTATTTTTTAATTTCTTTAACATTTATTAAATACATGTTATCCTTTGTTTAAATACGCGCAGTTTGTCAGTTTGCTCTAGCGCCATTTTATTTTCATTTTTAAAAACACGAAAGGCCTTGCTCACATGTTTTTTATTTTTAACTCAAAAAAGACAAACAATTAAAAGGTCTTACATGTTTGCATGGCATGATATTTTAAAGTACTTACAGTAACCATGATTTCTTTCCTGGGGAACTTAAAATAAGAACTTTTATTAGCATTGAGAAGTCAATTTTTAAAGGTGCAAGAGCGTCAAAAGACTAAGACGTGTCAGACATCTTTAGTATAAAACACAGAAATATAGTAAGATATACTCTGGTGAACACCACAAATCCAT